CGGCGGCCCGGGGGCTAGGGCTCGGCCACAAAGGGCGCGCGGCCCCTGCGGGGCGGGTGTGGGGGCGGTCCGAGGGCGCGCGGCCGCCTGGGCCCTGGCGGGCGGGCGGGTCCCGGTCCCCTCCCGCGCCTGGGGGCGGCGGGGGGCTCTCCCTGGGGGTGCGTCTCCGCCAAGTGGGGCGCAGAGGGCTGCAGCACCCTCCATCCCGTGCCTGCGTGCATTTCCGTTGGCAAAACACCTCTCGTTACTTGACTCAAAAAATATGTATTTTTTTCATTATCTGTGTATGTTCTGATGATCGGAGACCCCCTAATTCAGTACCTTGGGTTTGAGGAGCGGGAAGGATGCGCGGGGAGCGTGTGGCTCGTTTATTTCGGGTTAGTCCTTCCCCTCAACCACCCCCCCCTTTTTTTTTTCGGTGCGGGGCGCCCGTCTAGGACGCCCGGCGAATGGTTTCCTGCCTTTATTGTGGATACGGAGATTGCCAGGCTTTAGATTTCTTTTTCCCACCCTTAAAGAATGAAGATCTGTCAGTTCCCATTAGCGTGAATTTCCTGTTGGGGACGGTCATTGTAGGGGTGTGGTCAAGCTGGAACGCTCTGGCTGGTCCCGAGAGGTCGCGCCTGCGCCCTGATTGGGTGGCTTTATCGGGAGTCGGGCATTTCCCCCCACGTCCGGACATGTAGAGATAAAAGGAGGTACCGTGTTAGGTATTTAAGGACCGAGAGTCTGCCTAAACTCCATGTGCACTTCCCAGGGAGGTGGCCACTGACTGCAAGGGCTATTGAGCACATGGAATGTGGCTAGACCGAATTGAAATGCACTCCTGAATTTTACGACTCCTGATTTTAAACACTTAGAAAAGAAAAAAAATAAAATGTCTCATTCATAATTTTTTCTGCTTAAATAATGCAGATTGAGATGATACTGTTTTGAACATGTTAGGTTAACTGAAATACAATACTAAAATCTCACTGGTTTCATTTTACCTTTTTTTTTTTTAACATGGCTACTTGAAAAGTTTAAGTTAGATGCAACTCTCATTATATTTCTGTTGGACAGCGTTCAACTAACTAGAGCATCCGAGTCGGGGCAGGGATAGCTGGGAGCCCATGCCATCTGCTTATCTTTTCCTGCTTCTCTGATGGCATGTGGCCTCCTCTCTCCTAGGCTCTCAAAGAACCCCCTGCCCCTCCCTTCTCACCCTCAACTGAGCTGTTGAACTGATTGCTCAATGAGACTCTTGTCCTAATATACAGAATAGTTCAAGTTAATGGACAGCATATTCTTGGTTGAAAAAAAATTTTCTGTCTGCTGTTTGCTGGAGTCTGGAAATAAGATTTGACTTAGAATCCAATCACTTGAGTTATTGAAGCTGAATATTTTCAATATGTGAGTGTGTGTGATGCAAAGAGCGTGTTTATTTTCAGGGCATCTGCCACCTAAATGCCTTCCTCCGAGTAACTGTGACGTTTGCCTGGGGGTTTGTCATACCCTGACCTACACCCTTTCCGTTCCCTGTCCTCAGATACTGTCAGTTTTTGCCAATAAAAATGGTGGTTGTCGATCATACTGTCCCCTAGTTCTTAATTTTGATTGACTGTAAAACCTGCCAATTTGGAAGGGTTAAATCAATAATTGTGAGTGGGAGAATCAATTACTATAGAATCTTAACTCTAGGAATGTTGAGAGTGACTTGAAAAGTTGTGAGCATTCCAATAAAGGATGAGATAGAAACAGATGTCTGTATCCTTTTGCCTCGGATACCTTAGAAGGGCATTCTAGAGAAAGTATGATGTGTGGACTTCTAGATAATATCTTGAAATATGTGTGTGTGTTTTAATGAAAATACTTTTTCTCCACAGTGTTAGGATTGGAAGTTAAATCTGTTTTCTCCAAAGTGTGAAGTGTTTACAATTCAAGTAAGAAACTTTAGATAGCATTTTTAGGGGGAGAAATAGGCAAAACACTAATCCAGAAGTTTCAAAATTCATGCTTATGACAATACATCTGTTTTAATTCACACATACACAAAAGAAGCATATTATATTGAGGTGAAAAATTTCCTTGATGTAAAGAAACAAGGCCACTTAACTTTACGAGGTTTTGCCCCAATAAGAAATTTGCTTTTTAATTTTGATTTTTGTGACATGTTGTTTAGTTAATTAATACTAATTAATTTCATATACCTTGCAAATCCGTGGGAACCATATAATGGATGGAGTAAGAGAGGCAGAAATTTTTCTGTTTCACAAACAAGGGAATGGAACCTTTGTATTATATTAGACGACCTGAATCTGGAATGGGATATTCAGAATCTGGCCCTTCGGAATGCCCCTTCTAGAGTCCTGGGCATGTCACTGACTCAGGGTCTGGGTGACTTTGGGCAAACTATTTGTCTGGAAGATTACCCATCTTACTTGTTCATTCCTCCCATACAGAGTTCATGGATGAGGTGAGATGTTCCCTGGGCCTTCTGGGAGGGCTGGCCACAGTAAAGGGGCCCCTGGCACATGTTGTATCTGACAGCAATTTCAAAATGAATAGCTCCAGGTGGGGTGGGGGGCAAAAATATGAAAATACCTTCCCCATGTTGTTTAGCAAGGCCCTCATCATATGGTTTTCATTGTCAGTAAAAGGGAAAAACTTTCTCATAAAGTATCCAGTAGGAGATTGACTGTTTCAAGAAGGTGGTAGAACATCTGTAATAATGTTGGACTCCCTGGGTCTGTAGTCCCTGTGGGGTGCAGTGTAGCCACACAGTTTGGCAAGTGTTACCAGCGTGATCTAACTGTTACAAGTTGGGGTTTGACAGGAATGTTACTTTAACTACTTTGTTTGCTTGTTTGTTTATGCGATTTCCTGGAGAGGCTTGAGTCTGAGAATAGCATTTAATAGATTGGTAATTGTAATTTTTCACTTAAAATTTAGGAATACATTTTCAGGCAAAAACACAAGCACTGCGCCACCTCCCCTGGGGCACTTTCTCTGGTCCTGTGTGAAGAGGTCTTGTAAATAAGGCTGTTTAATGTTTACTCCTTGAATCTAAACACATGATGTTGTGGGCGGAGCATATTTCCATGTGAAGATCATCCCAGAGCGCTGCCCTCCCTCCCCGTGCCCGAGGCATTTCCGTGGACACCGTCTGCTTGTCTGAGTAGCTTTAAATCATGCCCCTTGCACACGTCATTGTGTGTGCCTGCGTGTGCAGTGGCCTGTATTTATTCTGTTCCTCTGTGGTGGCTTTTAAGCTCCTGCCTGCCTGTAAGAGCTGTATCTGTCTTTCAGACCCAGCCCAGGGTGAACTTAGGCGTGCTCGCTGTCTTCCAGGCGGCCCTGGCACTGGTGCTGGCCCTGGTGGTGTGGAACAGCTCCGTGGATAAGAATTCAGGCTCCAAGCCAGCCTGTCCGGCTCTGCCACTTCCGAGCTGTGTGATCCTGGACTCTTTATGTCAGTTCTCTGTGCTTTGGTGGCTTCCAGTACCTACCTCTTAGGGTTATTAGGAGGATTAAGTGATTTAATACATGTAAAGCCTTAAGAACAATGCTTGGCATCCAATAAGAGCATCAGTGTCAGCTATTATTTCTACCTATACCATTCATTGTAGTCATTTTCCTTGGTGTCTTCTGATAATGGGAGATAGTTTCTAAAGTTACTGTGTAAGTCCACAATCTCATGGATCTGAACATGTCTAGCGACTGGAGTTGTACTCGACATCACTCTAACAGGCCTGGAATAAACATTTAAAGGAATTATAATGGAGACCAGGGGATGTTTCTGCCTATAAAACTTCAGAGTTTTAAAATCAGCCAATTCCAGAAAGGTGATGTTCCAGCTTGCAAGAATTTAGTTAATATAGTGAAATTCAGTTTGAGTTTCTTGCTTTAAGATATACTTTTCCCAAACTTCCCCACCTCCCCACCACTCCACCATTTCCTTCTGGTTCAAGGAGAAGAGGGTGTGTCTGACTGTTGGCAATGAATGAAACCCTTCACCGTACTCCTTCAGGTTTTTGTCTGTCACTGTCACTGGTTGATTCCCACTCTGTTGATTCATCCCCAGCCTTGTTCCCTAAGGAGGTGGGTCCCCCTTGGCGACCACTGCTCCTGTGTAGTTATGTCCCCCAGGCCCCATCCTTTGTTACGCTTGCCTTGAGTGAGCAGCTGGACCCGGTCCGAACTCTCAGGCCCCTGAGCTTTGGGTGGAGCATTCTTTTCCCACTTGGTCACTTCATTCAACCATTTATTGACCTGGACCCAGATAGTGGAAACAGTCAAGACTGAGAAAGATAGGGATCCCCTTGAAGGGAGTGACAGGGTGGGAGTGGGGTGTGGTGCCAGGGTAGGCGAAGAGGGACAGCCTCTGAAGCTGATGTTGAAGCCAAGGCTCTGGGGTGAAAGGAGCCAGCTCCGTTCAGATCTAGGAAGAGTGTCGTGGACAGAGGGAACAGGAAGTATGAGGTCCCGGAACCTC